GGCACGGCCTGCGCTGGGGGCCTGTCAGGGGACAGGCCCCGGTCTGTGACCGGGGATACAGCCAGCACTGGGGGTACGCGACCAGAGCCTGCGTGGGATGGGACCCAGTACTGCCATGGAGGGACACGGCCTGTACCATGGGGACACGGCGAGCACCCAGGGGAGCTCGGTCCTGTCACCAGGGCCCCCACAGGGCCCCCCCCAGTGAGGCGGGTCCTGTGCTGCCCCCCAGGATGTGGGCCAGCCAAGGGTATTGGTGGGTAGGCGGGGTGTGCTGGCTGTTCCCGAGGGTCCCTAACTGGCTGTCACCCACCATAGACCTTCCTCGCTGCAGGGGGCCTCTGGTGCTGCTCTGACCCCCTGCAGGTCTCCAAACGCTGCCTGCTCCGCACTGACAGCACAGGCAGCACAGCCCCCATGCGGGGTGCAGTAGCAAGCACTGCATGCAGGGTGTACATAACTCGTACAGGAATTAGACAGCACTGCATTGTTACTGCCATCCATGTTTTCCTCCATCTGCCTTGCCCTCTGCTGGGATCAACAAATCAGTAATACCAAACTGGAGACTGAGCTTTATGCAGCAGTTGGCTTTAGGCCGCCTGACGTGTTCTGAAATTACCCGGTGCCCAGCAAAATCCACACAGCTCTGCAACATGGTTTGTCCTCCCCTCACCCAAACGTCTTGGTCTGTAAATGCAGGGACTGGGGAAGGTGGGACTAGGGAGTGGCGGTTGTCTGTGGCTGGCTCTGCATGGCTCAACATGCTTCATCAATATGTCTCTGTGACACTATTCGTGTGGTCCTTCCCCTCCAGCATGTAGTTCAAGGGTATCGAACAGGAGGCATTCAAAGATGAGATGAGGCACCAGAGTGATGAGAAAACTGGAGAACAGAGGTGAGAGGCTGCCAGAGGTTAAGGTGGTGATTTCTCAATGGGGTTGCAGCCCACAACAGGGCTGAAAGCACTTTGGGGAGATTTTCGGTCTGTTAGGCCAAGATCAACAAATCCAAAGGTTGAAATTCAGTGGGAGAGTGCAGGGGCAGAGAGAGAGGGAACTGGGCACTGTGGTCCTCAGCATGGGTCTGAGTGACACGTGTGGACATGTGCCTCCACATCGAGCTCTCCTGCCTGCAGCTCCACAGTTCCCTGGCCTCCCAGAGCTTCCCCCAGCCTGTGTCATTCTGCAGGGCCACAGTGGGAGGGAGATGGGTGGGAGGATGGAGGAAACACAAAGCTTTGATGAAACATGAAAAACAGTCTTTGGGGCAGAGCATCACTCAGGAACAGCAGCCAGGATCTCACTGCCAAACCGCAGAAAGTTCAAAGTAAAAAAAAGGCCCTTGCAGTAGGGTGTAAACAGTTAAGTTAAATGGTCTGGTCCAAACCAGGAGGCAGCACAGCAGCTAATGGGGAAAAAGGGTGTGAAAGGGCTCTTTGTCCCAGCAGGAAGGCAGAGGGGCTGGGCACTGGGGACTCGCCCTGATAGGAACGCAGGGCAGCCTTGTTTGCAATGCAGGGTGCAGGCTCCTACAAAAGAGGTGGTTTTACACTCTTGTTCCTTTTGCAGCCAGACAAGCCCCTGCCTGGAAAAGTGCTTTAACCAGAGTGGCTCAGCTGATGTTCATCAGAAAAGCAAGACAGACCCAAGGAGGAGCTCCAACCCTTGCACAGGGCCTGGACAGCTGTGCCTGTCCTCTCCAGCATGTCCAGGGCAGGAGGCTGCAGCTCATGGTGGGTCTCACACCCTGGGAGAACAACCAGGAAATGACCACCCCATGCAAGGGCAGCCCTTTTCCCTGCAGGAGAAGATCTCAGAGTGACAAACCAAAGGTGCTGGGCCAGGGTGAGGGCAGGAGGCCGGCAGCACCTGGACAGGAAAGAAGTGCACTCTCACCACTCTCCTTTCCTGAGGTGAGATTCGCAGCAAATAGAGGAAAGCAGATAAGTAAAGCTATCCCTGCTGGCCGCTTGATGGGGCAATGGCCCGGCTAGGCAAGGGGTCAGCATGAATTATGTTTCCTGGCAGCATGACGCTGTGCTTTTAAAGGGATATCCGCTGGGTAGCATAGGACAACAGGGCTCATCGCACATCATGGAGGGGCACAAAACAGCGGACAGGACTAGATCATGACTTTGGGCATCCCCAGGAAATCCAGCCCGTTTTGGTGACAGTGATGAGACACATCCTGCTGCTCTGCTCTTTGTGTTGGAGAAAATACAGCAAGCCAGGAGGAAACTTCCTGAACACTTTAGGAAGTGGTTGCCTACTGCATTAATATTTGCTAGGTTTTGCTAGTTTATACAGCTGTCCCTCAGGCAGGTGTTCAGCAGCTGATAATAGAAAATGCAACAAGTACACAGGGCAAGACCTGGAGAAGACTCTGATAACTAATAATGCATGCATGCGTGGTCACACGCTTGTATGCATCCTCAAATGGTGTCACAAACCATGAAGCAGGCTCCATGAAGAGGTAAAAGACCTTGTGGCTTTCCCAGGTGCCAGGCAGGTAACATGCTGGCTGTGGAAGGGGACATGCCAATGACATATTGTCTATTGCTGTGCATTTGAAGAGGATGGTGAGTTTGGACTGAGCTTGAGACATGGAGGTTCCCTGTGCATCGCAAGGAAGTGATAGGGACGAGGGAATTCAGCCCAAACATTGTGCATTATTGCTCCCAGTCCCCCACAGCTACAGAGGACATCCTTACACTGGCCATACCCACCCTGGACCCAAGCCCTAGCAGAGCCTCCTTGCAAGAACTGGGAAGGGAAACCCCCACCACATCTCCCAGTGCCTGTGCCCACCCACAAGGACCAAGCGCACCCATCCATCTTGTCAAACTGCTTTAATATTTGGACACAAAGACAGGACAGAGCCAGTCAGGCTGTGCACAGACAAGATGCCCCTGAGCCATGGAATAGGGCTGCAGGGTTTCCCTTCTCAATTATGTGTGGATTTGGCCAAGACGTAGTTTAGCTGATGATGTCCTGAGCATGCCAGTGGGGTGCATGTGGAGGGTAGGGAAGAGGGATGGGGACTCCCTAGTGCAGCTCAGAGGTTGTTCAGCTCCAACAAAGTCTGGTCCAGGACCTGATGGATGCCCACATTCTCCTCTTTGGCACTGGCCAGACTCTCTGTGAATACAAGGGATGCCCAACCACACACACAGACACAGCCCAAGCATATCCAGGTGCAGCCAGACCCACGCACACCACACCAAGCACAGAAACACACAGAGATGGACGTTTCAGTATGGCAATAGCCCCCAGAGGAGCAGGGTCCACACAAGCAGCCCCGTCACTGGCAGGAATGAGCCCAGCTGCTCTGGGACCTGCCAGGACAGCCAGGCTGGTCACTGGGGGCAGGCAGTCCCTGCTTTTCAGCATTTCCAACCTGCCATGGTGCCCCATTGCCCACGGCTGGGCCCTCCACAGCACTGGTACCAGTGGTGGGTACCATTCCCATTCCTTGGCCAGCCACCAAGGGCCATCCTGCCCTGGGGCACCATCACCAGCTGAGGGCACATGCAAAAACCCTCAACCAGCAAAAGAGGAGAGCCAGTGCCTGCTGCATGACCCAGCAGTGCTCTGTGAAGAAAAGGAGTGAGACAGCAGCCCAGGAGGGTGGGCAAGGAGGACAGCAGAGAGGAGCAGTGGTAACGAGGCTGTAGGGATGGGTTCTGCCACGCAGCCTCCTCTGGTGTCCACTTCCAAATGACACTCTCATTCCCTCTAGAGACGAGGATGGGATGAGAGCTCTGCCCACCCAGCCCCATCTTCTAGCTCTCCCTCCTGGGCTCTTCCCTGTTCCCTGACCCAGATTTGGGGCAGCAGGTGCTGCTGGGTCCCCAGATCATATTCCAACCCTCCCAGCAACCTGCAGGGACCCTGCTCTGAAAGGATCATCCCTGCGCAGTCTGGGGTGACCAGAGCAAGGACAGAGCCTGGCCACCAACTGGGACAAGGGGAAGAAGGCAGCAATACAAACCACTGCATCCCTCCCCAGCAGGGCCAGGCTCATGCCAGGGGACAGCAATCACTGCGTGGGCATCCCAGGACATCACAAAACCCCTCATTCCTCTCCCAAGAAAAACCGATCAGCTCCAGAGGGGCTCCTTGTGCCCCCCAAGCAGGGTGGTTACCCCCAGGGGGATAAACCAAGGCTCCACACCCTGCCTAGTCCTGGCAGGGACCAGGTAGGGGCTCCCAGCCCTGAGCCAGCCTGGCCAAAATGGAGCAGGGTGGCTGGGCTGGGGCCAGGAGCAATGGGCACCTCAGTTGTTAAGTTCGGTAAGGATGACCCGCAGCTCGTTAGTGAGAACGCGGTTTTTCTCGGCCTCCTGCCGGGAACGCTCTAGAGAAAACAGAGACGTCAGCACAGCAGAGAGAAGAGAGAGAAAGGCAAGTTAGTGAAAAGAGACAGCATTCCCCAAAGCTGGAAATCCCGTAGTTGCCCAGCCAGCAGCAGGAGCAAGTTGGGACTGGCAGGAGAAGGCAGCCGGTCCTGGGGCACAGATGGGGCTGAGGGTCTATCAGTTTGGTAACTGGGTTCTGAGGCAGGGTAGGATGCTGAGGAAGGAGGAGAAGGAGGAATCAGGGACCCATTTAGGGATCACTGCTGAAGTGTAGGGTCAGCCCCTTCATCGAGGGAGTGCGATGCAGGAGAGATGCCAGGGCTGAGGTCACTGCTTGCAGGCAGTGTCTGGGAGCAGGGATGAGAAATGGATGGGACCAGATCTAACCTGGTATTTCAGGCCAAAAGAGTCATGGAGAAGATGGCACAAGATGAAGAAAGCTGTGTATGAGAGCCAGGGGGTGGGGGGTCATCCCCCAGGCCGAGGCACAAAGGGCCCTGTCCTGCTCAGCCTGGCAGTGTGGGAGCCACCCGGGGCTCAGCCATGGCTGCTAGCTGCCTGCAGTCACCTCCTACCTGCCAGCACCCATGTGAGACAGGCAGGAGGGACACAGCAGCATGAAAAACACAAAAGAGAAACCAAGGAAAGAAAATGCTTTATTGACAACAACAATTCAGTTAACACAGAGGGACAGAACATAAAAGAAAAGTCATGAAATGCAAACTGAAGAGCGATGTGCAGAGGACAGGAGGGAGGGCAGGGTTAAAGGGAGCCAGGGGTCTCAGGGCTGCCTGCCTGCCTGCCTGTATGGGAAAGGGCTGCCTGCACAGCTAGACCCAATGCTCTATCCCCTGGGTCTGAGCTTTGGCAGTGGAGGTGCTGCTTCCCCTGTGCCGGTTGTCCCCCACCCTGGGCCCCACAGGCAGCACGGGGGAGCTTTGCTGGGGGGATGTGGGGAGCATGTGGGCCCCCAACCCCAGAACTGCAGCGTCCCCAGTGCTTCTGCTGCTGGGAAGCCAAGGAGGGGGATGCTGGAGGGAAGAGCTCCTGGGCACAGCCCTGTTCCCCATCAGACAATGCTGGGGCATGGACCTAAAACCACACGGGCACTGTCTGCCCCACTTATTGGGGTTCCCTGCCCTGCCAAACGCCCCTAAACACCTACACCTCGTATCCCCACAAAGAGGGGTATTGCAGAAATACCCCAGGCCGGCTCCTGTCCCAAGGGAGCCGACAGACAGGCACATGCTAGGAAGGACAGAGGTGGACAGAGTGGGCAGGAGAGCGATAGGATGGACGTGCAGGCAAGTGGGTGAAATGGGAAGGGAAAGGCAGGCACGGGGCTGCAGTGCTGGTGCCCTTTGAGCGGCTCAGAGGGAGGTGATGTCGTTAAGTGCATTGTCCAGCTCCTCACTGATGGCTTTGTACTTCATCTTCTGCGCATACACTTCGTCTGCAGGCAGGGGGTGGGCAGGAGGGTAAACGGTGGAGCAGGGTGGGGAGTGGGCAGCAGAGAAAGAGAGTGGCTGTGAGCGGGGGGCTGAGGGTGGCGGGAGCGTGTGGGCACAGGCAGCATGGATGCAGCCTTATTCCCCACCCAGGGGCAGAGCCCAGATGCCAGCAGCTCTGTGCTACCATACCAGACACCACGGCATCCAGTCTCCCCCCTCTCAGGATCCCTGCCCACCCCCTCACCCCACCCAAGCCCTGTTCAACCCTACCAGGGGCATGCTGTGGCCAGCACTGCCCAGCAAAGAGGGACACATTGCCAGTGGGGACATTTTACCTTCTAGATCATCGATGGTTTTCTCCAGCTTCGCCACAGATCTCTCTGCAAACTCTGCTCGGGTCTCAGCCTGTGGGAGCACAGTGGGGTGAGGGTGAGCTGCAGGGCATGAAGAGGATGGTGCAGGCTGTACCACACCCCAAATCTGCCCCATCTGCATCTCTAGTACCTTTCTCCATGAGCCCTTCCCTGGGAAAGGCAAGGGACAAGGGCCCCATGGACCCCCACATCCTAAACCAGAGCAGGCTGATGGATGAGCAATTGTACCGTGCACCACTTTTTTTTTTTTCCTCCAGTTTTATTTCTTCCTCTTTTTGTTACATCCCTTTTCATTACTATTAATTGTTATTGTTGTTATTCTATTTTATTTTAATTATTGAACTGTCCTTAACCCATAAGATTTACTGGGTTTTTTCCTATTTTCCTCCTCATCCCACTGGGCAGAGAGGAGTGAGCGAGCAGCTGCGTGGTGTTCAATTGCTGGTCAAAACCCACGTAGGATGGCAAACTTGTGCCTGCAGCAATGCCGTGCCAGCCCTGCACCACTTACCTCCTTCAGTTTTTCCCCTAGAAGCTTGATTTCCTCCTCATACTTGTCCTCCTTGGTGGAATACTGCAGAAACAGAGACAAGCACCTGTGAGCCCAATGGGACGCCTCCATTCATCCTTCACCCTATCAGGAGACCCAAGCACCCCAACAGCCTACATACTGCCCAGCCCCAGCAGCCCTGCTCGGTCCTACCTTGTCAGCCTGGGCCTCCAGGGACTTCAAGTTGTTGGTGACAATTTTCAGCTCCTCCTCTAGGTCACCACATTTACTACATCCCAAGCAGGGGCCGCCAGGAGGAGGAGCAGGGCCCGGGGTGGGCAGGAGAGAGGGGGAGCAGAAAGAGCAGGTGCGGGGAAGGAGGAAAGAAAGAGAGAGAGAAAACAAGTTAAGAGAGGAGAAAACAGTGCAGGTGGAGGAGCAGAGCCACTGTGAGCGGGAGCTGCTGGGATACATCCATTCATCCATTTCTCGTGCTTCCCTGCACGGACATTCCGTGCATCACCACTGGCCGGGCTCCCGCTGGCCTCACTGACAAGGAGAGCAGTCATGGAGGGATGGCGGAGCATGCCCAGCTGGTGCCCGCCAGAGAAGAAGGCGAGGGGAGGTCAGTGGTGGAGGCAAAGGCGCACAGAGGAGAGAGGTGGCTCGCATGGTTCGAGAGACAGTGACAGAGAGAGGGGGGCTCCTGTGCATCGCCCCACGCCCCTGCCCCAGTACCTCTTCCTCTGAGGCAGTGAGAGATTTGAGAGACTGGTCCATGATCCGCATCTCTTCTTCCAGCTGTTTCACTCGGCTGGGGTGGAAGAGGGGCACCCCGGTGGGGGACAGCAGAGAACAGGGTCAAGGATGTGCTGCTGGTGGGCTGGCATCCCCCTGCCCCCAGCCTGTGAGCCCAGGGACCATCCTGACAGCAGACTCTGCTGCTCCCAGGGAAGGACATCCCCATCCCCATGCGGACATCCCCATCCCCATGGCTGCCAAGGATTTGGGGCAAGGAATGCGTGGCACCCCTGCGTGCTGCCCACCAGGAGCTCTGCTCACCTCTCTGCCACCTCTGCTCTCTCCTCTGAGCGCTCCAGCTCTCCCTCAAGGACGACCAGCTTGCGGGCGACCTGTCGATGTCAGCAAGAGGCCCATGTCATCCCCATGCTTACCCTGGCTGGGTGCACAGGGCTGTAAGGAGATGGCCCTGGGTGCTGCTGGGGTGTCAGGATGGGGGAAGGGGCGCACACACCTCCTCATATTTGCGATCAGCCTCCTCAGCAATGTGTTTTGCCTCTTTCAGCTGCATTTCCTGGAGCTCCATCTTCTCCTCATCTTTCATGGCCCTGTTTTCGATGACCTTCATGCCTCTGAGGAAAGTGCAAGCCAGATGATGTTAATGCCATGGGCCAAGGTGGCACCTGTTCCTCCTGCATGCCCACTGTATCCTAACCCCACCATCCTCCAGCTCCAGAGACATGGGACATCACCTGGGAATGCTGGCACTTGCTGACCACCGCACCCAGTAGGGTCACATCAGTGGTACCCCAAGGATGGTCTTGCACACAATTACAGCAGTGGAGCTGGCTCCAGGGCCATGTTCCAGAGGGAGGAGATATGGCTACGGTGCTTCTCAACCAGGCAAGTCCTGAACCCATAATTTGGCAAGAAATGTGTACAGCCCAAGATGAGCCAGCAAGAACCTCCACAAAAGCAGCCTGACAGGCCAGAAATGCTAGAAAACATCCCGTGGCAAAGCTTTTTCTCATTCAGGGATAATGCTCACAAGCAGGGGTCACCAAACCCCCATGAACCGCCGCAGCAGATAGTCCTGAAGACTCTTCTCCTCTCACTTGGATGCTATTGCTCAAACTGGTCTTTGCCAATGGAGGGAAGAGATCACACAACTGTGAGGAATGCTGTGACATGTCCAGGCACTCCCATACAACATGACTGCCCTCACCTGCACAGCTCCTGCATGGGAAATTGCTTGCCATAAGAATGGGGCAACACACTTTGCAGGACTGGTTTTCTGAATGAGGCTGGTTTGTTCTCAAAAGCTGACCTTTCTTTCCAGGCACATATGTCATCTCCTGGGCTTTTGTTCAGCCCTTGAGTGTAAGAAGCTGTTCTGGGGCAGAAAACAGGCTCCAAGCACCCTCTGACTTTGGTTATGGCCTGATATTTGTATAAACACCAGATCAAATTGTTTAGGATTTTATGGGTGCCCTGGAAATTTCAAAGCCATTTTAAGAATGTCTGTATCTGGGGGACTTCTCTGTGTCGTGCCTTTGCTCTCTTCCTTTTGGGTCTGCAAGAAGGCAGCAAGGAAGGCACACAGCAAGATCACTACCCAGGACTTCAGGAGAGCAGACTTTGGCCTCTTCAGGGATCTGCTTGGCAGAGTACCATGGGGTAAAGCCCTGGAGGGAAGAGGGGCCCAAGAAAGCTGGTTAATATTCAAGGATCACCTCCTCCAAGCTGGGAAGCGATACATTCTAATAAAGAGAAAGCCAGGCAAAAACACCAGGAGGCCTGCATGGGTGAATAAGGAGCTCCTGGACAAGCTCAGACACAAAAGGGAAGCCTATAGAGGGTGGAAGCAAGGGCAGGTAGCCTGTGAGGAATACAGAGAAACTGACTGGGTAGCCAGGGATTGGGTTAGGAAGGCTAAAGCCCTGATGGAATAAAATCTGGCCATGGACATCAAGAGACAACAAGAAAGGGTTCTATAATTATGCTGGTGATAAAAGGAAGACTAGGAAAAATGTAGGCCCTCTCTGGAAGAAAAAGGGACATTTGGTCACCTGGAATATGGAGGAGGCTGAGATACTCAACTTTTTTGCCTCAGTGTTCACCAGGAATGGCTCCAGCCACACTGCCCAAGTTGCAGAAGGCAAAGGTTGGGACTGGGACAATGAAGAAATGCCCACTGTAGGAGATCAGGTTTGAGACCACCTAAGAAACCTGAAGGTGCACAAGTCCATGGGACCTGATGAGAGGCATTATGCATCCTGAGGGACCTGGTGGATGAACTGTCTAAGCCACTATCCATCATATTTGAGAAGTCATGGCAGTCTGGTGAAGTTCCCACTGACTGGAAAAGGGGAAACAAACCCCTCATTTTTAAAAAGGGGAAAAAGGAAGAGCTGGGGAACAACAGGCCAGTCAGTCTCATCTCTGTGCCTGGCAAGATCATGGATCAGATCCTCCTGGAAAATATGCTAGGGCACATGGAAAATAAGGAGGTGATTGGTGACAGACAACATGGCTTCACTAAAGGCAAATTGTGCCTGATGAATTTGGTGGCCTTCTATAACAGGGTTACAGTGTTGGTGGATAAGGGAAGAGCAACTGATGTCATCTACCTGGACCTGTGCAAAGCATTTGACACTGTCCTGCACGACATCCTTGTCTCTAAAATGGAGAGACGTGGATTTAACTGATGGACCACCCGGTGGATAAGGAATTGGCTGGATGGTGGTGGTCAACAGGTTGATGTCTGAGTGGAGACAAGTGACAAGTGGTGTTCATCAGGGGTTAGTGTTGGGACCGACATCTTTGTTGGTGACTTGGACAGTGAGATCGAGTGCACCCTCAGCAAGTTTGCTGATGACACCAAGCTGTGTGGTGTGGTCGACGTGCTGGAGGGAAGGGATGTGCCATCCAGAGGGACCTGGACAGGCTGGAGAGGTGGGCCTGTGTGAACCTCATGAAGTTCAGCAAAGTCCTGCACAGGGGCCAGGGCAATCCCAAGCACAAATACAGTCTGTGTGATGAGTGGATTGAGAGCAGCCCTGTGAGCCAGCAATGTATGCTTGCAGCCCAGAAAGCCAACTACACCTTGGGCTGCATCAAGAGAAGTGTGACCAGCAGGTTGAGAGAGGGGATTCTCCCGCTCTGCTCTGCTCTCATGAGACCCCACCTGCAGTGCTGTGTCCAGCTCTGGAGCTCTCAGTGTAAGAGCTTGATCCCTGCTTGAGTGGGTCTAGAGGAGCCCACAAAGATGACCAGGGGGCTGGAGCACCTCTCCTGTGAGGACAGGCTGAGAGAGTTGGGGTTGTTCAGCCTGGAGAAGAGAAGGCTCTGGGGAGACCTTATAGCGGCCTTCCAGTACTTAAAGGGGCTACAGGAAAGATGGGGAGGTACTCTTTATCAGGGAGTGTAGGGATAGAACAAAAAATAATGGTTTTAAACTGAAAGAGAGTAGGTTTAGATTAGATATTAGGAAGAAATTCTTTACTGTGTGAGGGTAGTGAGGCCCTGGCACAGGTTTCCCAGAGAAGCTGTGGCTGCCCCCTCCCTGGCAGTGTTCAAGGCCAGGCTGGATGGGGCTTTGAGCAACCTGGTCTAGGGGAAGGTGTCCCTGCCCATGGCAGGGGTGTTGGAACTACGTGATCTCTATTTCAACCCAAACCATTCCATGATTCTATGAAAACCAACACAAACCCCATAATGTCACTTCAGAAGGACCCCATGGCAATACCAAGGGGGCTGGCTGCCTGTAATCAATAGGGATCTGATGCCACCGCCACTGTCCCTTCCCTTCCCACCTCTCGCTTTCATCAGCCGCCTTCTCAGCTTCCTCCAGCTTCTGCAGGGCAGTGGCCAGGCGCTCCTGGGCTCGGTCCAGCTCCTCCTCCACCAGCTGGATACGGCGATTCAGAGAAGCCACCTCAGCCTCAGCCTGTGGGAGCAGAAACCCCTCAGTCATTCCATGTCTCATATATATATATATATATATATATATTTGTATTTTTAAAAAAGGATTTTCAGTGGTTATTTCTGCATTCGTTATTCAGAACACCTCTTGGCATGTGCAACAAGCCAGTGCTCACTGGAATGTAGTGCCCGACCATCCATCCCCTTGCCTTTCTATAGGGATGAGTTTTCTCCATCCCTACCACCCTATTTGACATTGGCCCCTCCCAGTCAAGCAACCCCAGCCCAGCATGTGCAGCCCCTCCACTGTGTCCTCGCACCTCTGGCTCCCACCCCGGGGAGGGACAAGAGGCATTCGCTGGGGTAGGGTGGCTGTAGCAGCCATGCAGTCACAGGGATGGTATTTGGGGTTTGCAGAGCAGTGAGTAAAGGAGGAGGAATGCCCTGTGCAGCTTCACTCCCGAAAAGGAGATCAGAGCTGCTTGTGGATTTCCTGTTTACGGAGGCAGCAGAGAAAGCTGGGAGCTTCTCCTGCGGGAACCCCCCCGGCCCCGTGCCTGAAGCCAAGCGCAGGCCATTCCCCCCCGCCAGCACAGTGACAAGGGCAATGGAGCAAGTTGCCCTTGGCAGGCTGGTGCCTGGCCAAGCTGTGGCTGCCAGGCCCCACCAGACAGGGGCTCCCCACTTTCCCAGGCTCCCCATGCGTGGGGCTGGAGGCTCAGACTGGCCAGGAGCGGTGACCCTGGCTCGCTGCCAGCCCCCTGATGGCTGGCATCGCATGCCTTCCATGTGGTAAAGGCTCCAGCTCCATCGCCACCGCCGGGAAACACTGCCTTGGCAGCTTCTGGCCCTGCTCCCCACCAGGGGGACTGTGGGGAAGACAAAACCCGGGTGCAAAGGGATGGGTGGGGATAAGACCTCACCACAGGGCGCAGCCCTGTGCACCAAGAGGCAGGAAGGCATGCTCCAACTTTTGGGATAATGTCTCCTGCTTATTCGCAGGCATGAGCAGGCCTGGCCAGTTGCAGCGCCCGTCCCCCTCTGGCCTTGTGCTCCAGCGCCTGGAATGCCCCGGGGGACATCTGCCAAGCAGGATGACCGTGGGAGCAGCGAGAGGCTGTCACCCTGTGTGGCCCCGCTGAGCACCCACAGTCCCCCGTGGTTAATCAGCAGGGTGAGGACAGGCGCAGCCTACACCCCTACGAGCAGAGCAGCCTGGCAGCATCCCAGGAGGGTGGTCAGCCCCACGGCTGGCACAACAGCCACCTCCGTAGTGTTAACACCCTTTTTCCGGGCTCAGTGAGGGTTTGCACCTAGCCAGACCGCCCAATGGGGAGCTGGGGCAGGCCCCTGCAGGGTGATGCTCTGTCTGTGGCATCTGCCTCACCTTGTTGGGAGCTTTCCTCCCAGGGAATCACCCCCAAAGTGGGTCAGAGCTGCCTGGGTGGACAGTTGGGAACATGAGCTCTCCAGGAGCTCCCAACGACTGGAGAACCCGATCTGCAGCTGCAGGAAGGGGCCATTTCCTCCACATACAGCCCAAGTGACAACAACCCGGGTACCGCACCCAGCTCTGCCGCTCGAGATATGGTGAGGATGTCAAAGAAGTGGGCATAGGAAAAAGAAATAAAAAAACCCAGCCATAACAACAATAAAAAAGCCAAACCGGGAACAAGCTGCAGCTTGGAAATGCCGTCCCACTGCCAGAGTGGAAATTTTGGCCTGTGGCAGCATGAAGGGGTGGCTTGTCCCCATGGACAGGCTGGAGAGCCAGAGGCTCTGTGACTGCTGCGGCCCGGACCGCAGAGCCCGCTGGAAGCCAGACAAGAGCCTGGGCGTGGGATTTTTAGCCGTGCACATCGCCGGCCTCCCTCCGAAGGAGGGGATCCTTTCCCAGGATCTGCCCAGCCCCACGCAGAGCCAAGGCAGAGCTGGCCGCTAACGGCTGCCCGGTGCCCCCCCCTCCCCTCAAGCCGGGGTAGCCCCGGCGAGTCCCCGGCGCACGGAGCATCCATCCCTCGCAAGACCCACGGAGGAAGCAGCTGGAGGAGGCAGCCCGGAGGCCGGGACGCTGCCCGAAGCCCCCTGCCCCGGAGGGGGGCGCTCTCGCCAGCTGCCGCGGCACTAGGATGGCAGCACGCTCCAGCCCCCCCGTACCCTCCACAGCGCTCCGACCGGCGCGGGGGGTACAGCCAGCCCGGCTACCGGGGCAGGGAGAGGTGGGGGGGGATTGCGGGAGGCGGCCGGCGCCAACCCGCAGGGCGGGGGGAGGATGCC